TAGGGTTCGAAGCTTACCTGGGTGGATCATCACTCAGCCGTCTTCCTCAGCCGTCTTCCTCGTCGACCTCCTCTGTCGACAGCACCGCAGCTCGGCCGACAGCACCGCAGCTCGTCTTCTTCGTCAGCTCAGTCGATCTCCTCATCCCCTCAGCTCGTCTTCCTCGTCACTCGGCCGACAGCACCGCAGCTCGGCGACCTCCTCCAGCCATTTCGTCGCTCGTCTTCTTCGTCCTCAGCCTCTGATCTCACTGAGGTATATAAATCTATATATATATATAACTCTATATATATCCGGCTCTATTTATATATATATATATATCAGGATATATAGGTATATATATATTTATATACCACAGTGAGATCAGAGGCTGAGGACGAAGAAGACGAGCGACGAAATGGCTGGAGGAGGTCGCCGAGCTGCGGTGCTGTCGGCCGAGTGACGATCGACAGAGGAGGTCGACGAGGAAGATGGCTGAGGAAGACGAGCTGAGGGAATGAGGAGATCGACTGAGGAAGACGGCTGAGGAGATCGACTGAGGAGGATCGACCGAGGAAGACGGCTGAGGAAGATCCACCCAGGTAAGCTTCGAACCCTAGAGTGTTGTTGTTGTTGGTGAAAAAGGTCTACCAACGAGGGTGAGCCGAAACCCTATAGGTTTAGCTCTGATACCATGAAGCTCGAATAAATCAGCTTAGGGTATGATGAGATATCATCCCTTATTTATACATAAAGATTAGGGTTTACAAACACGACAATTACAAGATGATCCCTGAGGGCATAACAATGATAACAGACCCTACTGCCTTTCGGCTAATAAAATACTAAGTGACTTTCGGTGATTATAATATGCCAACATGTATACCATGTTTCGGAACATACATTCCAAAACTTAGTTCGCCAGGATATTATAGTTTTCTGGTAACATTAGTCAAACCATTGGGTCAGCTCAACTCTAAATAGGTCGATCATCCTCCTTCATTCATGAATACGAAGGTATCTTAAGTCTCAACAACCTCTACATCTTATGATTAGACCCGGGGATTGTATCAAGGGAAATGCAGTGATATATGTATAATAAATCCTTCGAGATGGGATGTGTCTTAGCCAAATTCTCTCCGTATGACTAGTCAATGTGGTGTTTCCTTGAGGGCGTAGGCTGAACAATCTTAACCATCCCTTAACTCTAGCCTCCAAGCCACATACTTACAGTGGTCCTAAGCGAAGATTCCTAGGGTCGTGCTCCCAACCTAGGTATGTGTAATGGTAATGAAAATTCCTTAAATCATTGAAGAAGAAGAGAAGAAGGCACAAGAGAATCATGGTTTGCTAGGAGGATCCACCAAGGGTATTGAGATATGTTACTACCGAGTTGGGGTGGCCAAGCAGAGATGCCTCAACCCAGCCAAATGATGTAGCCCATGCCTCAAGGGTGAACTATGCTTTGTCTCGTTCCATAGTGTCATGGCTCAAAGCTAAGGTGCCAAGTGTGTTAGTTGTCAATCTTTTACAGATTTGACCAATCTCCCTTTCTAATCTCCTCTCTGATCTCTCTTTCACGCTCACCCTCACACATACACGAATTCCACACCAATGACTGCCATCGACCACTACAATCACAACCTACCACCACCTCCTCCACAACCACGACACATTCATGAACACAAAAAACAGTAATGCCATGTCTATAACCCACCACCGCGTTTTCTATGGCCATAACACAAACACTATAGCCTTGTCAAGAAAACCCATTATATTAGTGTACTAAAATTACCAAATTACAAGGCTGTTATAATTTTTGACCACTCTATGGACATAGGAATATGCATGAATATAAATTTGAGAATGTAAATAGTTTTTGGTGTGGCAAATATATACGTAACAACCATTTGAAGATTAAGGGGTTGTTTGGAGTGTCCTAAATAAGTGCACTTTTTGACTTTTTGGACTAAAAAGTTGAGGAAAAAAATATGGTTGTTTGGTTTAATTTTTTGACTTTTTATGGAAAAATGTGTATTAAAAAATTGTATAAATTAGTGTGTAGGAGAATATTAGAGTGTGAGTTGTACAGCTGTCATGTCTGCAAAGGTGGAATAAATGCTAAGAAGTAATTGTCTACTTTTTGGGCATTGCACTAGACGATACTGTTCGGCTCGTGGGGGCCATCACAGGTCCAGTTATGATAATCTGAACTGTTCAATGTGTAGAACTCGTCGAGTACTATATGCCTATAAAAAATTACATTGATCGAATATGGATAGCTATCTGATCAGATTTGTTTTTTTTCCAACCGTTAATTATAACACCTTTATTTTTTTTTATACAAAACTGATTTGATCGTGTAGTTATCAATATCCGATCAATGTGATTTTTTACAGACATATAGTACTCTACGAGTTCTACACATTGAACGGTTCAGATTATCAAAACATGACCCGTGATGGGCCCCCACGGGCCGAACAGCAGTGTATTAAAATTGCACCCCAACTGTGCAATTTTTGTTACACAACGCAGCACGGATCTGAAGCTATCAGATTGATGTGTTGTAATTTTGTGTGTAAAATTAATTTTTTAATATATTTTTTTGGTGAATAGTGATAATTTTTTAACTTTTTGAGTAACTTTTTGACTTTTTGTCTTTTTTGTGACATGCCAAACTTGGCCTAAAGTTGATGCAAGTAAACTCAAATGATTCCAGATTTGGCATAAAGAAAACTAAGAGAGAGAGACAGAGAGAGAGACTTGATCTTGAGGGTCTCTCTAGGAGAAGTGGACTGAGATTGTTTGGTACATTTGCAAATTACAGAGATAACGATATGAGTGGGACGGCAGTCATCTAAATATGGTATTTGCTTTAGATTGAAGACATTATGATGACTCTTGGAGTATTAAAAAATAGATTTAAGTAGCAGAATTGTGAACGTACCTACAGCCTCTTGCTTTGGCAGCTCTTGCTGGAGTTGTGTGCGAGCAGCTTTAGCTGAACCTGTCACCCAAAAAATTAAATACAGACTAAAGGTTAAGGAAGACTTTGATAATCAATCACTAGAAGCCAACTTGAGTCCAATGCCAAGTTGAAGTGACAACAGTAGATGGCATGACAATCATTCTTTAGGTCTGTATACCTAGGATCCCAATGGGTCAGTAAGGGGTTCATGTTTCCCATCCGTCATATTTTTTAGGTCATTAGTCAACAGCTCCCTGAACAGCGAAATAGGGATGAATAAACTTTCTTTGTGTAATGATTGAAGAGGGTGGGAGTGCTGGCTGACAGTAGGGGAATTGCACCAGAGATGGCGATATAAGTGGGAGGGCAGTCATATAATTATGAAATTTGCTCTAGATAGAAGACATTATGATGCCTCTTGTAGTATTAAAAAAAAAAATCAAGTAGCAAAATTGTGAATGTACCCATACCTTCTTGCTTTGGCGGCTGTTGCTGGAGTTGTGTGTGAGCGGCATTACCTGAACCTGTCACCCACAAAATGACATACAGACTAAATGTTAAGGAAGACATCAATAGTCAATCACTAGAAGCCGGCTTGAGTGCAATGCCAAGTTGAAGTGATGACAGTGGATGGTATGACAGTCATTCTTTAGGTTCTGTATGGCTACAATCCCAGTGGGTCAGCAAGGGGCTAATGTTTCCCATCCGTCACACATTTTTTAGGTCATTAGTCAACAGCTCCCTAAACAGCAAATAGGGGTGAATAAACTTTCTTTGTGTAATGATTGAAGAGGGTGGGGGTGATGGCTGATGGTAGGGGAATTGCACCAGTGACTCGAGTTAGCAGTTGTTGGTGGCGGGATTACAGAAGTGTAGAGGTGGCTCAGGGCTGGTGGCAAGTTGTTGAGAGGTTCTAGGCATCAAAGCGAGAAAACAAGCAAAGAAAATTCATTATTGAAGATAGATGAATTCATGGTTGTTTCAAAGAAAGATTGGAAGGTCAAAATTGATTTCCTTTTGTAACCAACGCATGTCAATAGGATGATACAAGCATAACAATTGATGAACAGACATTCACACTAGCCATAATAGTTCAATCTGTACTATTTGGAATTTAAACTTATTGGGTTGTGGAGGTGATTGATGATGGATTTGTAAAGAGAGAGATTGAAGAAAAAAGCAAGCGGGGTATCAGGTTGTGATCTGGGGTCATTGAAGAAGATGCAGGTGGGCTTGAATTTGGTTTGTTGAAACTGAGAGAAAGAGTCATCTTACATCAATTTTTTAAGTAAGGCTTTTCTAATTCTTTCCCAAAATACCCATGATTTTGTGACTCATTTGCAACAGTGTCTCGTGTAAGGAGTGTGTAAACACACATTTTATAATCTGGTTGCTAAATTATAGTCCAAGAAAAAATATTGTACCAAAAGTTTCACGATACACTTCTATTATGCACTGTTATTTTTTATTTTTATTTTTATTTTTTTTATGTAGTGTTTAGGTTCTACCTTATTTGTACTTCATGAAATATTTCCTTATAATGGGAATCTCAATGTGCTTCAAAATTTTGAGAAGAAATGGTAAAATAATTAAGTTCCTCCGATGTAGTGGTTTAGAAGGTAAATTAATGGATTCAAATTTTGAAAAAATACAGGGTAGATTATTTTTAAAGGGGGCAAAAAAAGGGGAAAAAAAGAACATGTTTCTTCAAAACTTCAATGTACCTTTTATTGACATTATGATAGTTTTCAAACGAAGTAAGATTAAATTTAATTATCCTCTAATCTTTTTCAAGAAAATGCAAAGAGCACACAAAGGAATGTATTTTAACCTCGTAGCTGTCTTGAGTCTTATGTAGTTATCAAGACAAAGCAAGAATGGATGGGCAAATCGAACACTAACACATGGCACTCCCTTGAGCTATGAATTACCACATTAAGTGTTTCCATGAAAAAAGGACTCATAAATGTCAAGCATACTTGTCAATTTTTTTATGATTTTGAAACACTAGATGAAAAAGAAGCTGAAAGACAAACTGTGTTCTTTCAAAGGGGAGACTTGGTTCTTTTGCACAGAAGGCTTTTGAAACTTATCAATCATTCAGAAAACCTTATTTCCAAAATAGGGTGCTATTATGTTATAAAGGAAGTTTCTGTTACTGGGGTTAAATTAGTTTCTGAAAATGATCTGAATTCATGCAGTTAACTTAGTAATTATGTGCACTATTCAGGGCTAGCATCATGAGACATAAATGGAACAAAACTTATCTGTACATGACTCTTAACCGTGAACAGCATAACAACATCATCATTACTGGAGAACAAAAATAATTGTGGAACACAGAAATTTCAAAATCTTAATAATTAAAATTTTCTTGAGTTAATTCATCCAAACATCAAAGAAGATTAATTCATCCAAACATTGGAGGAGCACATATCCCTCTCTAGATCCACCCAAATTATCACATGAAAAGTGAAGTGATTTACAAAGATTAAGCAGGAAGTACAGCAATATAGCACAGGTGCAAGTGAATGTGGAAGGGTAAGGTGAACCCTAATGACTAGGGGTGAAATTGGTTCAGTCTGGTTGGGGTTTTGGCAAGATTACCCACTGAACCAAAGTAGTTGGTTTAAATTTTTTGTGAACCGATCCCGACCGGTTATTGGAGAACACTAAGCCGACCTCATGAAATTAAGTACGGTTTGGTCCTATAGGTGTTATCGATTTGAAAACTACAACTCTTAATACGAAATTAGGGTTCATAAAATAAATATGTATATATCAAAACAAAATCAAGGCTTCAAAAGATTAGGGTTTTTAAAAAATTTGGGCTTAAAAGGGTTTAGAGATTACCAAGGCACGGAGAAGACTGAAGAGAAACAGGGATGGCCGGACTAGTCGCCGACGAAGAAGATTGAGGAGAAAGAGGCATGGCATTACTCGCTGTCAGCGGAGAAGACTGAGGAGAAAGAGGGATACTCGGACTCGTTGCCGACGAAGAAGACTGAGAAGAAAGAGGCATGATGTAACTCCTGTTCGATAGAGAAGACCGAGGAGAAAGAGGGATGGCCTGATTCATCGTTACCGAAGAAGATTGAGAAGAAAGAGGCATTGTGTGACTCGTCATTGACGGCGAAGATTGAAGAGGCCTTGAGGGTTCCTTCAATGAGACTGAGATTGAAAGTGAGATAACAAAGAGAGAAACCAGAGAGAGAGAGTCGAAGACAGACGAAGGATTTACAATAAATTGATCAAGAGGTAGAGAAAGAAGGTATATGCATAGAATTAGTATGGATGGCTGAGATTTAAAGCACTTTACATGTGGACAACCGAGATCAAAGGAATTTATTAATACTAAAAACGATCGGTTCACTCCTCTCCGGTCCAACATACATCATCTCAACCACTAAACCGAGCAAGAAAAAAATAGCAAGGGATAACCGAGTCAACCAAAACTATTTGGAAAATTGACCAAAATTGTAAAATTGACTTGTTTGGTTCATTCCATTAAAGTTTCACCCCTACTAAATACTCTTTTTCTTTCCAATATTAACAAAGATGGTGCTCATCAAGCTATGTGTTACCTTGTTTTCTCTTCTCTACTTCTTTTATGTAACAAACCAAGTTATCTCACTAAACTTAGAAATATCATTAGTGGAATAGCAATTTCTCATCAACCCCAAGGGGTTGGCTTGGTGGCAAGGACTTGGGTCTTGGGAGTGTGCTCCCTCCAAAGTTTAGAGATCAAAACCTCTTAGGTGCTAATAATTCTATAAGGCCATTGGACTGGAGGGAAACCCTTGAATTAACCGTGGTGCACTTACGAGAAACTCCTTGCCGAGGGCCTATTCACCCTTGGGGATTAGTCGGGTTTTAATCCCAACAGCCCAGTGCTAATCAAAAAAAAAAATAGCAATTTCCCATCGATCACTTCATTCAAAGAAAACAACAAATAGTCGAGACTTGGAAATATCATTAGTAAAATTGCAATTTCCCATCAATCACTTCATGTAAAGAAAACAACAAATGGTGTTGCAATAATCAAGTTGTTAATGCCTCATGATTCATGACATGATACATATGTTTCAATATAATTTAGTAAAGAATCAACATATATTGCTAATTTCTTACATTTATTTGAGGAGTTGTTTTTGTTAAGTTTATCATTACACATTTATTGACAATAAAAACAAACGCATGAAAAAGTGGGTACAAGGACAAATTAAATAAAAGCCAAAGTTAATGTTATTGAAGATAATTAAAACCATGTGATCCAAACCAACATATATTCTCATAACACACTGATGCTAAACTTAAACCCATCAAAGTTTTCTTTCACAAACAAACAAAAGAAACTAGTCTCCTAAGTCCTAATGTGTTTTGTATAACAACTAGCCAACATGACATGAAAGAGAAAGACATACCAGCATCAAATTCAATCAAGACCTAGTCCCCCAAGTCCTAGTTGGCAAATTCAAACAATAACAATATGAACAAAATTACTAATAAAGGATAAGATTTAAGGAACTAATTTATTCCTTAGTAAATTTTAGTGAAGTTAAATAAACCAACACATGCTATATTCAAATATAAGCAAAAGAGGTCAAGAAGGGCTTCAACTAATCTATTAAAAAGTAATTATTTTTCTCGATTTTGCAAAAAGCCAATGCTTTTGTAGGTACATGGGACCACATGGCCACATGGAAAGCCACAATTGGTGCCACATCATCTTCTCCTTGGGCCTTGATTCCAAGTGCAACCAATGGGTATTCATGTGTTAATTTTTATTTACTCCCTTCATCTCAAAATAATAGTCCCTTTTGAAGAATCCAACTTTTTTTAATAGTACAATTATTACATTTTAAAAATATTAATTTTCCAAAATTACCCTTTGATAGTACATTTTTTTTTTAAATATCAATTGTCATAATTATACTTTTTGTGTTATTAATGAATTTAAAAGAAGGGAAAAATAGTAAATTCATATTATTTTATTCCTTGATTTTTGAAAAAAAACTAATATTTTTTGACAACGAAAAATAGAATAAAGGACTAATATTTTGGGATAGAGAGAGTATTTTTTTTTTTTTATGGGCACCGGGGTATTTGAATCAAAATCTGACTAATCCCTAGGAGTGCACAAGCTTTCGGCAAGGAGTTTCCCACAAGTGCACCACAGTTAATTCAAAGATTTTCTCCCAGTCCGATTGCCCCAAGGATTTACATGTGTTAATTTTCTCTCCAAACTCCATGATAAAGCTCTCTTAATCGAACCTAATATACACGGTGTCTTAGTTTCAAGCCAACTTCTAGCAGGAATCTCCAAAGAGCTCCCCACGTACTCTTGATCTTCTCTCCCTTGCTCAAGTGAATTCCCCACCTGAATGCACCCATCTCCACTTGCATCAATACACTCAAATCTCCCTCATCTTGATCAAGCATACTTCTCATGATCTACACATGGTTGTCCAAAGGCACCCCCAATCCAGCTAAACTAGCCAATGTGAAGAACAAGGCTTACAAAGCCCCTCGAGTTGGTGTCATAAATTGATGGCCCTTGAACAGCTCTATTGCCCTTGCAAGCTGCAAGTGGTCATTAGGGTGTTGTGGCTTGATGACTAGAGTTAAGAGGTGGCTTGTCTCATTCTCCACCCAGACCAATCCTAGGGAGAAATCTCTACGAGAAGACAACATCAGATCATGACAAAGACACCTAGCATGCTTCATACTTCCTTGTACCTCAAGAGTACGCTCAATTAACATCTCCATGCAAACCAACATTCTCATCTCCATCTCTCCAACCGTAGAAGTTGATGTGATGTGGTCTGTAGGGAAAATAATAACCGTATCATTTGCTATTGTAAGTTTGTACAAGAGTTATTTTGGTAATTCACAAAAACGTTATTTTGGCAATTTCATATTTTAGAGTTTTGAAGGGTCTGTAAATAGAACTCAATTAGGTTAGTCGAGATGAGACCAAGATACAATAAACGTTTGAGTTTGTTAGAGCTACGACTCCATTTATCCTTCCCCCTCCAACATTCTACTATCTGTAGATTCAAGCTCCCTAGTGAACTATAGGGTTTTCCCCATTTTGTCTCCCCTCTATTCTCCATGTGGATTCAAAACCCTAATGGACTCTCTCTCTCTCTCTCTCTCTCTCTCTCTCAATCCAACGTATATATCCATGTATATATCCATATATATATATATATATATGTCAGAGGCTCCAGTTCACTCCATTACCCACAAACAACTTTCAGTGAATTTGATATACAAAAACATTATAAGGGTTCCACTGTCATTTCTCTATACACACCACATTATACACAGATATATATATATATGTATGTATGTATGTATCTATATAGATACACACAAATGGGAAATCAATAAGAGAGAGAGAGAGAGAGAGAGAGAAGATTCACCGGAAGCAACCGCAGGCGGGGGCGGCGGAGTAGTCGGAGCAGGGGTGATTGTTGGCGGTTGCGACGGAGGGATTGATTGCCAACCAGGTGGAGGTCCATCATCATCGTCCTCTTCTTCTTTTTTTACAGCGATTTGTGTCCATCCTGGTGGAGGTCCATCATCATCATCGTCTTCTTCTTCTTCTTCTGGTTCGGTTTTTGCAGGGAGGGTTGAAATTGAAGGCCAACCAGGTGGAGGTCCATCATCGTCTCCTGCTTCGAGTTCTTCCCCTGTGTCCTGCTGCTGCGAGTCTCTCTCCTTCGCCATTTCCCTCTCTCTCTCTCTCTCGTGCTGCTACCAGACTGCAGACACGCAGACACTCCTACTTAAATAATTGAGTAAATTACACTTACACCCCTGAGGTTTTCCTTTATTTCAGATTTCCCCTCGACATTTCGAAAATTACACTGCCACTCCTTGCAGTTTTCGAAAGAGAAAGGAAAAGTGTGTATAAAATAATCTATCTTTTTCCTTTCTATTTTCAAATTCCTTTTTAAATAATTTATCTTTTTCTTTTTTCTTTTCAAATTTCTTTCTAAATCTATAAACCAAACATAATCTTAGGTGACATAACGATTCTATATGACATCAGAAATAAAAATTAACAACTTAACAATCTTAACCTCAAATTTAAACAGAAACCCATTTCAAATTACCCATTTTACTATACTTGTTTGTAAATCCTAATGTCAAAGCTAAAGAGAGAAAGAGGAGAAAAATATTAAAGAAGAGATGGGAGGAAAGTGGTGGGTCACAATGGTATTAAGCGATGAAAGGTGACAATGTTAGTAATGAAACGTTGGTAATGAGTATTGAGAAAAACAAGAGATTGAAGATAATATGATAAATTCATATTACTAGTTAAAGGTAATAAGGTCATTTTATTTTTTTCATTAATGGTGTTAACTGACAAACTAACATGGTGGTCATTGTAATTTCTAAAATTTTAAAAATTTTACATTATAAACAGACTTTAGGGGTGTAGGCGTAATTTTCCCCTAATAATTACTAGGCAAATAAAATGTTGTACAAACTAATTACTTTTATAAATTTTCTTAAGGTTAATTTTGATGTAAGCTTACTTTGATTGTTTCACTTTTAATTGTGACAATTAATTCTTTACGCTTTAAATCAAGTTGTAATGTCACATTTCCGTCCATCCATGAAGCATGACATTAACAAAAATTAAAAGGGTCCCAAATTAAAATTTTAGTGAAAATATGAGTAAAATGAGATTGTGATGAAAGTATAAAGACGCTAATAAGATGAAAAAAAGTGTCATTTTAATTCACATGAAAAAAAATCGTTAGTTTTATTAAGAACAAATAGACAAGAGGCTAACTTCACTTGAAAATGTAGAACTTAATTGTCACAATTAAAAGCGAAAAAGCCAAAGTAAAATTATTATAAATGTATAAGAGTACTAAGTGCAATTCATCCATTTTCTTAATGTGTCATATGATAATAACATTTTAGAAAAAAAATTATTTTTAATAATGTGATAAGTGACACTTCAATAAATAAAAATTATAAAATTTTGCCAATTTATCTAATATTATTTAAGGATTCTTTTTCTTTTAAAACATTTGTTTCATTTAAACTACAACAAATAGCAAGCAATATTATGAGTCCCCTCGTAGTTGGGTTTATTCTTCGAATTTGGATCATCGGCCGCCCTACCCGGCAGCCCCCGAAACGACGTCGTTTTGGGGGTTTTTTTTTTTTTTTTTTCTTCTTCTTCCTTCTTGTTTTCTGTCTCTCTCTCTTCGATGATCCAAAACCAGAGGGGAAGGAAGGGGAGGGGGAGGTCCGATCGTCGCCGTCGCAGCTCGTCGCCTCGCCGCCAGCCGTCGCAGCATTGCCGCACCGCCGTCTCCTCCGCCTCCTCCTCCTCCTCCTCCTCCTCCTCCCCCACTGGTTATGGCCCCCTCCAGTCCGGCCCACCGGCGGCTCTTCTTCCCCTCCCCTCCCCTCCCCTCTGGTTCTGTCGAGCTCGACGAGGAAGAAGAAAAGAAAAAAAATCAAAAAACCCCCAAAACGGGGCTGATGGAACGGCTGCCGAAAACGGCGGCCGAGGATCCTTGCTCTTATTCTTCCATATATGAGTTCTATGATTTGGAGAAAAGTTTCTCTCCGGTCCATTTACAGATTGAAGGGTACTATTGGCTTAAGGTAGACTTTATTCCAGGCTCACTTTAATTATCCAAACCATTAAATATATGGTATGGTGTTCGTTGAGTACATTATCCATGTAAAAAATCATATTGATCGGATATTGATAACTACTTAATTATATTACATTTGTGTCAATAATTTATTTTAACATTATACTTTTCATTGACACAAACGTAATCTGATCAAGTGACTATTGATATCCGATCAATGTAATTTTTTACAAAAAATATTGTAGTTGACAAGCCATACACCTTGAATAATTCAGATCATTAAAATGGACATGAAGTAGAGCCCATTGTAAGCTAACAACACCCTTCAATCTGATATCAAATTGGAGATAAGCATCATCCTGATTTTAAACCCCTGACTACTTCACTCATTTCCCTAATTGTATTAAAGAATGAAATGTCAACTTTTATTAAAAATAATGATTACAAGTAAAAGATATTAAAAAACAGAAATATGTAATTCATCCTCCAACATAAGTCTGGCTACAAGAAGAGAGATAATGTAAAGGATTTTTGGCACCTACATCCATCAAACAAAAATATTTGATATATAGCTCGAATTTGTGTGTTTTGAATGGCTCGAATATATCAAAAAAACATCGTTTTGAGACATTCGAGCTATTTAAGCCATGAAAATTTGGACTACCAAACATTGTTATCCATCAAATATTTCAAATTTATCTCTATATATTTGCTCAGCAAACCATAGCTTTTTGTTTATATGTTCAGAAAATTTAATTTCTTTTGGTTGGAATGAAACTTCGAGCACGTAGTCTTGATATTCAAGGTTGAGGTCATTTATTTTTAAAAATTAAAAATTGAGTATTCAAATCATTAGTTTAATTTTTATTTTTTTTTAATAATCCCAAGATTTATTATTTTGAAAGTCCAAAAGACAAAATAATTTAAAAATCTCATATTATCTCTATATATTTGTCTATCTATTCAATGTCTACTTATCTGTTCACATCATCTATCTGTTCTTATTAAATATTTTGTCAATCTATCTATTTAAATGCCATCTATCTATCTACGTAATTATTTATGTGTCACTTATTTGTCTACTTAATCTATTTATTGTCCATATCACTACCACTACTAGTCACCGCTGCCAATGACCATTGCTAGTGACTTTTTTGGCCATTGTTCTGGTGACAGTAATGGTCCGGCGATGATCTAGCAATAGTAAGATTAAAATGAGAAAAAAGTCTTCAAAATAATAATTTGTCAGTCTGACCAAATAATTTCATTACTCATATTCTTATCTTCATAAAAAATCAATCATTTAATCAAATGTCTTATCCCATAGAAATGAACTTAGCACTAATTATCCCATAAAAATTTGAGATGCAAGGTCCACCCACTAATTTTTTGGTACTACAAAATTCAATTTCGAGATCTAAAAGATACTAAAAATTTGAAATCTTTCACTTTTTTTAAAATTTGATATGCAAGGTCCACTTACTAATTTTCTACCAGGTATTCCCATTAAATAATAAATAAATAAAAAATTCTACCAAGAATTTCTCTCTTAAAAAAAATTTATGATACACAATCTTCCGGGATGTATATTTTATGTCACTTAACATACACCTTTTATATATTATATTTGCCTAGTACCATGAACATGCCTATGGCTATACTTTAAATATGTAAAATTTTATATATTGTACTTTCATAACCTTATATGGATTTTCTATCTAAAATTTCAAAACGCTGGAAATAGGAGAGATTGTTTGGTAATTTTGGAGCAATATTTCACATTATTCTTATTTATATTCTGTTACTTGTTATTTTATCTCTCAAAGTCAACAAATAGAAAAAGGGATAAATTACACGTAGCTCTCTTAAAATTTGAAAAAGAATTGGTTCCATATTTCTTACATAATTACATTAGTTTCTTTTAAAATTTTAATTCACATAATAATTAGGTTATTTTTTATTAATAATTATTTAGTTGCATGAATGAAAAAAATATTATTGTCATTTTTTTTACTAAAATGTATATTTATCTTTGTATTTTCATGTTTATTTAACTAGCTTATCACACGTGCTATGCATGGAATAATTATAGATATTTATATTTGTTTTAGATTTTTTTAATATATAAATTATGTTTTTTAAGATTTTTTTATAAAAATAATTTTACAATCTTATTATTAACCATAGTGAATGGGAGAAGTTGGAAAGGATATTGCAGTAACTATGTATGGATTGTATCTAATGGGGGGATTTTAAATGCTGATCAGGGAATTTTGACCAAATCAATAAATGTAGGCATGTGAAAAGACTTGTGGATTGAAAAAAGTTAACAAATGCTGATGAGACTTGTGGATTGAAAAAAGTTAACAAATGCTGATGAAGAGATTTTGACCAAATTAATAAATGTTGAGGTTTTTTTTTAAATAAAAAAATTAAGAAATTTATATTGGAATATTGGAGCTTCCACAAGGCTTAGGGTTAGAAACCCTTTTTTCCTTAATAGATACTAGCATATCACCCGTGCTATGCACAGATTATGTTTACAATTATCTATATATGTGAATTGTGATTTTTAAATGTTTATATCTTTTTCATTTTATTTAAATGTCTTTTTTTTCCCTTTTTTATATATATTAAAGTTTAATAATTTTGATAAGAATCATATGTGTTGGACTTTTCAAGATTTTTTTTTATATTTGTTTTAATGCATTAAAGTGTTATTATGAGGAATAATAATCATATGTGTTTGGACTTTTTAAGGAATTCATATGTGTTGGATTTCAAAAAAAAAAAATTATACTGTTCTTAATGCATTAAGTGTTATTATGAGGGTAAGACTTGGAAGTTGGGAGAAGTTAACAAATGCAGATTTTTTTTTTAAAACAAAAAATTAAAAAATTTTAGATTGGGAGATTAGAACTCCCACAATACTTGGGTTAAAAACCCCATTTTACTTAATATAAGGCCAAGTTGGCAATTGCAAAATAATCCATATTTTTATCTTTTTATCTTTTGTCTATCACACACCTCTCTACTTTTTGCACATCTTTTCGTAAAAGACAGAAGTGCACTTATTTAGTCATTTCCAGAAACCCATAGTATAGATTAGATAGATAGTAA